GGAATAGAGTTCACTTGCAGCCTTCACACTTTCCAGAGCTCCAAACTCATCTGTCACAGGAGATGTTAGAAAGAAGTGCATTCACATCAAAGTTAGAGCATTTCAGAAGTCTGGCAATGACACAGAGGACACATGCAAATATTGCTAGGTTATGTTGACCTAAAGTAGGTTACGTGTTTGTGGTTTGTCTACATTTATTTGCCCAAACACAGGTGTTAGAAGCATTTTACAACCAAATGCATTTCTGGCAAGTTGCCATGCAAATGATTGTTTCCCAACATACTTTGTCTGGGGGGAAAAATATGTAGCTCTTGCTTTAAAATGCAGAATCATTTATTTTGAGTTGTGTTGTCACAATATTGGAATTTAAAACTTTGATTCAATACTTTGGAAAGTATTCATATTCAATATCACTTTTGAAACCACAGGGAAAATGGACATTGTGGGTACACAATTTACATTATTGATTAAAAATTAAATACAATAAGGCTAACATGACAATGATGACTTTTTTCAAAGTTAGTAGCAGAATGACTGTATTGAATATAACAGTAAAACAAAGTGAGAAAGCACAGCTGGTATTGATAATATAGAATATTAGTCTGCAAATTGTGTTTTAAATATTCAGAATCGATATGTATTGATGCATCAATATTTGTGACAACATTAATTAGGATTATTACTATTTAAGTATCCATGTGTTGTAAGGTATGTTGTGTTGGAAAAACTTAATACATCTATAACATTTCAAAACTGCACACAATCTCTTGAACCAATAGACAAAAATAATACCAACTTATCCTGCACGTCATTTCTGACGCCCTCAAGTTGAACTAAAACAAGATTTTATTTTAAACTACTATTCATATGGGAAATTGAACATTTTAAATCTGTACATTAAAAGCAAGTTAAGAATAGTGACCTTGCTGCCATCTCTTGAGTAATAACAGTCAGGGTGTGTACAGGTATCTGATAGTAAAATGTCATGCTTTTTAATACCCGCTCAAGACACCTTTTAAGCAAATTTAGGACAGATTTTTGGGACAAATCATGTTTTACTTATTTAAACAACACAGGTAAGCACTGCAGGGAAGTAGTATGTATGTGGTCTTGTGCAGAGGTAAGTGTTTTGTAGGAATATGGTTATTAGAGTGAGTTAAGCCAACATGTAAGTGCAAGTATGAAGCAAAATGACAGTATATAGTTTTTAAAGATTTATAACATTAGAAAGGTGGACTTTTACACAGAAAGCTACTCATTTTCACAAGATGAAATTGAAAAATGAAATTAGATAAAATGTTTGTAGTAGTTAACACCATTGAGACTATTTAAAGACCTTTAAGGCCTTATTGTTGTAATACTGAGTTTAAGGCATTTAAGACTTTTGTAGGACCTGTAGACTCACTGGCAGTGGTGATATTGACAACATCAGATAATTAATCATGTATATTTGATTAAAAAAGAAGTAAACGCATTTTTAATCAGCATTATAACAGACGTATGCAACAGGCTTTATTAATTTCATATTAGTACTTTACAGGTGTGTAATGTAATGTAAGCCTGAGTCACACTACTTTAAACTCCATACCTTGTTGAGCCAGCTGTGTTCCCACCTCTGGCAGTCCACAGTAAACTACATCTCCCAGAGCCTCCTGCAAGGGGCAGAAACCAAGGTCAAAGGTAGTAGCATAACTGTTTACTTTGTGTTGCATGATCATGTGTGTGTGTCTGTGTGAGTGTGCGCACCGCAGGGACCGCAGGAAACTTACTTGCGCAAACATGCTGATACCGACAGTCCCAATTCCGTCCTCTTCTACTCGAATCCATTCATGCTTGTCTGTGAACTTAAGCGCTGCAAGATAACACAACAAACTCAGAACACAAAACGCCTCCCAGCAGAAGAGTTTGAAGTATTGTGCGTGAATCACAACCAGAAGAAAAACGGACAGACATGCAGCAGCGCCGTCAGCTCTCGTGTCCTTTTCTCTAGCTACCGTTACCCTCTAGCTACCGAAAATGTTAGCTAACATGCTACATTAAGACACATTCACGGAGGAATACCTGCTGTTAATCGACTAGACGTGGCTAGTGATCTTCCAAAATAAGGTTTAGATGCCAGCCGTAAGGGTGGAAGTGTTGCCGAGCGGGTAAGTAAAGGCAAAACTGTGAAAAAGTTGGAAGAGACGGAGCGGAATAGCCCACAGGCGGCCATGTTTGTCGCTTACTGATGAGAGCGAGGGGCTTCTTCTTCTGTGATGTTTTACGGCAGCCGGCAGCCGCAACGTTACACTTGCTGCCACCTTCCGGAGGTATTACATTACTGCGCCATCTTAATTTAAGATCTCTTACTTGTTCATTGTAATGAGTAAAGGTAGGCCTCTCTCCCTTTTGTCTCCTGCTCCTAGTACTTTAGCCATTTAGCCGTTTATCTTTTATTTATTTTTTTTTATTCATTTTTCCCCTCAGATTTAGATAATTTTATGTTTCTCTTTGTTTTTAACAGCTTCCTATGCCAACTTGTCCACCTTTACTCTGCACTTAAATGTTTAATAAAATATGGCATACTGGTATTTCTTCATTTCCTGATGTCTTGCCAGCTTTGGTAAACACCCTTTTTAACTCTCCCAGTTCTCTCTGCCTCTTCTTCCCTTCTCAGACAATTTAGCCTATTAGAGCCGTGTACCTCTCCTTCAAGGATGGATATTAGAATGGATTATCAAGGGTTTCTATGGTCATATCACTATTAATCTGATTCAAACGTTCATCACGGTCTTCCTTTAAGGTTCAGTGTGTAGGCTTTGGGGGGATGTATTGGAAGAAATGGAGAGTAATATAATAAGAATGATTTCTTTGGTGTATAATCACCTAAAAAATAAGTATTGTTATGTTTTTGTTACCTTAGAATGAGTCTTTTATATCTAAACAGGATGCAGTTCCTTGTTCACATAGTCCCCCATGTTGCACTGCCATGTTTCTACAGTAGCCTAAAACAGACAAACCAAACACTGGCTCCAGATAGGGCCATTTGTGCTGTCTCATCAGCCACTGTATATAGCAACCCCTCCACTACAAGAGGGTTGGAAAAACACATTTTTCTTTATACTTGAAATTTATTTATTCAGTGTTTTGACCAGTTATAATCACTTCGCCCATTTGTTTTGGTGAGGAAGAGACCTCTGCAGATATTTCAGCTCCTGGTATAAACCTCCTCAACAATGAACACACAGCTGTACATCGCCGTGTCTCCTGATGACACAGGGCCAATTGATACCCTTTTAAACTGTAAGACTCAAGACTCACCTTTTTAAATTTAACTTTTAACTGATTTCTGTTACTCTTTTATTTCTTATATGTTATTTTAATTTCTGATGCTTTTAAATGATTTATTTTTAATCTTTATGCATTTCATTATTATTAAGTTTCTAAATCTTCATTTATATATTTATTATTATTTTATCTCATACTTGTTTTATCTTATCATATTGCCTTTTAGTCTTTTAGTTTTTAGCTCCAGTGTTTCCTCATGGGGGGCCTCCACACTGAGAGGTGTGCCCTGTCTGCCCGCGGGGACGTCGTCCTGGAGATCCCTCAGGTCCGAAGGACTGGGAGGCTCTGACACCATGTGTGGAGTCCACCCTAGTCTATCTGGGTCGGGGTGGTCTCTGTGGCGGTGCTCCCTGTGGCCGTAGGCTGCGACACCTCTCAGTGAGGATGAGCTCCCTATAGGTGGTTCTTTCCTCACCTGGTTCCTCCTGGTCAATATGTATGTAATATTTTTGTTGTATGTTTTTATTCTGTGAAGCACTTTGTGCTGCATTTTTAATGTATGAAAAGTGCTATACAAATAAAGTTTGATTGATTGATTGATTGATTGATTGATTGACTGATTGATTGAACACTGAGAGACTTGTAACCAGGAGAAGTTTCAGTTGGTTGCAATATGCATTCTTCACCACTAGATGCCACTAAAGCCCCTTAAACTTTACACACTGGACCTTTAAACTTCTCCAAGTTTCCTTTCCTGAGCATCCATTTTCCAACCCTGTCCACTTCAGTCACTGAATGTGAACATGAGACTGGATTATGATAACTACATACACTTCCTTACCAGTAACAGTCTGAAACAATATTATTTAAACCACTGTAAGTAGACTTCTTAGCTGTATTAACATCTATCCTTGTTTAACTAGTCATTTAAGCACACTAAATTCCTGTCATCTAACAAATCTCCTATAACCTGATCATTGTCTTTAGTTTTCCCACTTCCCCCCACAATGTGTTATGTGCGTCTTAGTCCCCACATCACACACTGCCTGCTCTACTTTGCCTTCTAAGTAGCCTGACTGCCTTCACCCTGTGTGTTCCTTGTCTTGACATTTGATTGTTGTAGTCTGTGAGCAAAATCAGCATCAGTGTCAGACCAAATAAACTGGACTTAATCAAAGCGATAAGCTCTGATTGACACACGTACTGCTGTGCTGTTATTTTTAGCATCACGTTCCATTAAAAAAAAAAAAGAAAAAAAAAAAGACTGCCTTTATTTTGAAAACAAATCCACGCCAGCAGCACACCAAATAAAGAAAAAATAAATGGAACGTGTGTGTTAAAATTAAGTTTATTTAAAAGAGGATTCTGGAGAAGAACACAGGGTTACGTTGTTAGAAATTTGCTTCTTCCCGGAGACCCACACACCAGAATTTTAGACCCATATTGTTACTGTGTGTGATCTTTAAAAAACCACTACATGTGCGCTTTGACATCCAAAGTTATCACAGTTTCCCATATTGTGTAACCGGTTTGGAATTTGTGTAACATATGTGAGTGAAATAGTTTTGCAGATGACGACTACTTTAAATCAGATTTAAGGATGTAATTTATCTGTCTGCACATCCATGGCTCCATAAAATACTGCAGTGATGAAGGAGCCGCACAGATATCCCAAAACTACGAATCCTTTGTTCATAAATTCACACAAAGACTGATCAGACAGGTCTCAGAGCTCTTATTGACCACCCTAACAAAAACTTAAATTATTTATTAAGTAACATTTTTATTCATACAAAACAACAGAATATATAAAGAAAAGGTCACTCTCATGCCTGGGAGTTCTACTATTGCTCAAAATTGCATTAGCTGAGGAAATGGCATGTTCGGAATTTAAAAAAAAATAAAATAAAATAAAGCAAATGTGAGTGTTTCACACGACCGTACACTCCCTTTGTCCTGTTCTGGCTTCATAAACTATGCTGTAAAACAAAACTAAAAATACAGAACGACTAAAAAGTGTCCTCCCTTATACCTGGGCTAAAAGCTACAAACATAAATAACAAAAGCACATTTGTTTGGCTTTTACATTACACAGCTTCAAGAGTCCATCCAGTGTCCACTTTTCCTTATTTGATTCTGAGGAACAAACAAAAAGAAAAAAAAAAGAAAAGAAAGAAAACAACCACGATAACAACATCGATAACAGTAAAGAGAAACAACAGCTTGCTGTGGAGAGAGGAGTGAAAACAGAGGGGATGAAAACTCCTGTGTGTGTGTGTGTTTGGTTGTTTTCTCCATCAGAGCTCATTGGAAGCTTGCTCGCCCTTGTTTAAAAGGCGTTGAACATGTAACATGTCTGTGTTAGGTCCCTCCTGCGGGGGGTGCTGTGTGCTGCTGGATGGGTGTGAGGAGCAGAGGTGAGTGCTGGCGGTCCGTGGCAGGCAGACAGAGGGGGGGTCTTTAGTCTGTAAAGTCTCTCTCCTCACTGTGGGGAAAGGAACAGCTAGGTTGGGAAAGCCAGGAAGTTCGTCTCGGACCACGGTCAGGTCACCGCCGTGCGCCGCAGACGACACACTCTCTCTCTTTTGTACACACACACTCCTGACGTCTTGGTGCCCACAAACACACGCACAATCAGCCGGACCCAGACACCCCTGCTGGTTGTTTTAGGTGGTCCGTTCCTCCCCGTCGGTCTCCTGCTTGGTCCGGCGTAGGTTGCTCTTCATCTTCACAAACTCGGGAGTGTTCTCCTGTTCCTCCTCGATTTTCTGCTGCTCCAGCTCCAGCTGCAACAAGACAGACAACAACAAAGTCAGACTAAGGGGAGACACTGCATGTGAAAGCAGTTTTTCATGCACTAGTTAGACAGATGCATGTTGTTTCATGTTGCAAAGTCTAGTCAGCAACTTTAGAAAGAAACTAGGTCCATCTAAGTGCAAAAGTGACAGTTTACTTTTATGCTTTCAATCATTTACCTGCTCTAGTTTCTGTTGTCTTTTCATGAGCTCTATTTCCAGGTCGCTCCTCTTCTTGTGGGCCTCCTGCTCCTCCTTCTGAGCCTTGAGCACTTGCTCCCTCTTTCTCTTCTCCAGAACCTTCTGGAGCTCAGGTTTGTTCTGAGGAGCCAGACCCCTGCGCACAATCAGTGAGACAGCATGTTACTAAAACAAAGCTTAATGAGCAACATCCGATGACACCACAGAGCCCCACTCGGGGGGAGATTAGTCTTTGCGTTCATGCGTAACAGATGATGAGCGTGACCTCATTCTAGTTTGACGTGCAGATCTGTATTAGATGTTGTGGATTAAAAATGTCAGTCGTGTTTCAGGAAAGTTTTGATTAGGAGCCCAATCACAGATTGTTCCACATACACCAGTCTGTGAATGTGAAGGCTGCCAGTGTTGAAACTGACTTTGGAAAAGAGAGTTGAAACTGAGGGCATATTTCCCCCTTTTCTTTCCCTTTTCTTAGTCCCAAAAACAACAGCCCATATCTTAAACTATCTAACACACACTCCTTACATGGAAACTATCTCAAAGTTACAAGTCTCTGGTAAACTTGCGAGACTGTTACACAACAGCCCGGGCTGTTCAGCAAATTTCAGGATGGGACATTTTACCAAAGTGTGAGCGTGTCTTGCGAAGAACAAAAATACCAAATGTTACGTAATGCTCCAAACTCCTCCAAATTACGAGGGAGGAGGTGGGGGCTGAGGATGAGGCTTGGGAGGAGGGGTACTTAAGACAGAGGGGAATAGAGATGGGCTGGAGTCGAGGCAGAAGGCAATAAATAGCAAAGCCCACAAAGGATTAGGGAGGCACAACAAAGTGCAACACAAGAATAAAAGAATCAAGTGTAGTAAAAGGGCAGAGGCTATCTGTTGGTAAGAAAATCCATCCTCCATGTCCCTGATTACATCGTTAATTCAATTTTAAAACCATACTGTCCACCTCCACCTCTCCTCCTGGGTGCTAATTTCCCTTTCGTCATGAAAGCCTGCCTCTGTTCTTCAAAGAAAACACCTGACTGCAGTTCGGCAACAACAGTGTCTTAATTAAATGCATTATTAAATCCTGAAGATTGCATAACCGAGCTCACAGTGTTCCAGGGAGTGGGAGTTAATTTACAACAAGCCACCACTTTATCTCAAGTCACTGCTGCAGATAATGTCCTGGTTTGCCTGAGAGTGGGTCCTGTGACAGCATTTAACAGTGTGAAGCAGAGCAGAGGGTAGAAGACGTGATCTGTTCAGGCTGTGTTCAAGCACCACGCTCTGAAGGGGAGGAGGGTCAAGGTCACGGAGAGCAGTAAGACAGGCTATTAAGATGCTTACCCCACTCTCCTTTCACCGTTGGTAACGTTTACATAATCACTGACCCTCCTCTCCGTGACTTCCTACGAGTGCACACCCTCTAGCAGACTGGGAAGAATGTGTGCTCACACATCAATACCTCCATCTGCTCAAATGCTTCGCCAGTTTTGGTGGCTGAGGTTCTGAAATTCCTCTGTATGTGTGTGTGTAGGAAGGGTCATCGCAGCTAAGGTAGCGAAGGCAGAGAAAGGCCCTCGGCGAGAGACTGTTTTGTAATCTTGATTACATAACACATTTTTTCTCTCTTCATGCAGCCAATCCATCCATCCATGCATCCATCCACCCACCCACCCCCACTCTCATCGGCGTGACTAATCCACTATGCAGGCAAGCTTTCTATACTTTCAGTGCACAACAGAGAGCCCTATCATAACAAGTATATCCCCCAAAAAGCCCACTAGATTTATCTCGCAGACTTCTCCTGATGCCCCGGGACTCTCTCCGTCTAGACGACGAGGAAAAAATACCTCACTGCATTTGGAATTTCTAATATTTTTATGACATTTCCTCCAAGGCTTCCTGATCCTGCCCACCCTGGCCTGTTTTCCCATCATTCATTAATGCCCTGCCTCCATCGCTGCAACAGCACCTTACTCTTTGACCTGTTTAGGAGCAGAGCATCGCTGCTGTGATGTAACAGCTGTCAACAGCATGTGCGTTTGCGTAGCTATTAATAGCTCGGGCACAAAGCTGCCGCCGCTGTTTGGTGAGAGAAAATGCAAACATTAAGTGTCAGAAGGGTGATGGCGGGCCCCAGTATGCATGTGATGGATGCTCACACAGTCTGCATTAATATCAGTAGCCACACCAGGTTCCTCATATACGGCACATCTGCGTGACCTTTACATAACCAATATTTGACACTTGGATGCACTTGGGGTTTTATATAATAGCTCCTTATGAAAGTTTTATATCCAGAGCTTTACATAATACTGCTGCTGGAGGTCGGGTGGGGTGGTCCAGTGAAGTCACCTCCAGTGACACACTGCAGGAGCATCAGTACAGTGTGCTTGGATGCTATCAAGCCAATTACAACAAAGCAGCAGGGCGACTGTGTTAACTCATCCTCCATTAGTTAACTAAATTAGCCTGGATCTGGACACTGTATTGCTTTCCCCTGACTAATCTGTTTTGGATGGGGGTAAGCTTGAGATTGTTGCCATAAGCAAACAAGGAAATGATGATGATCCAGGAAACTGTTGGACACCAACAGAGGTTTATCACCCCAATAAACAAATAAACTACTATCTTTATTCATAGGCTTGGAATTCGCCCATCTTTGTTGTTTTCATTTTGTTTATGTGCTTTAAACTGTGATAAAAAGGCATAAAGAGGGGACAAGGAGAGAGAGGTGCTGAGGGTGTATTATTCTGTCTCCTGACCTCTTCTGATTCATGAGCAGCTCTCGATGCAGGTCCTGGTGGTTTCGGGAGTTCTTGACCGGGTTGATCAGCTTCTTGGGTTTGATGAGCTCATCACAGTCCCCCTCCAGGTAGTCGGGCTCCGCCATGACGCTCCTCCCTGCTGACAGCGACAGACCAGGGTCACACGGATCTGAATCGACAGAAGCAAATAAAACAAACTTCCATTTAACCACTTTCTCTCAGTAACATGGGTTTGGATGTGACGAGGCAGTGGTGACAGAAATCTCTTAAATCTCTCCTGCAAGGACACATTTTTCAGGGATCTATTTTTTTTCTCCTTTCAAATCGTGACACGAGCATCTGCCTGATCCTCTGGCTCACGCTCAGTTTCTGAATTGTCTCTATAGTGATAGGACTCAGGCTGGAATTACATAATTGTTCACACTGAGTGGAGGAACATCTCATCCCACCGCCTGAAGCCATATTCAATATAATGAAGAGATGAATCAGAACAGTACAGGCACATAGTTATGTAAACATTGCAGAAGATGCTGAAACAATAGTAGCCCAAAGCTTCAATCCATGACCTCAGTAATCAAAGGATTTAGGACTAAAAGTGGGCACGCTGCCTTAATAAGCTAAAAACCAAAGATAGTGTATTTTCTCCCCGCTCTTCCTTCATCAAAATGAGGGAGTAGGGGGAGGCAGAGTGTACAGCCATATGCTCCTTCTTACTTTTGTATCTACCCTTGACCTTTCCTACTTTTCTATTCATCTACCCTTTGGCTCCCACTTGGACCCCCAGACGGCACTAGTACTCCCACTCATAGTCTGAAGTATGTGCATCAAGGATTGTACCATCTAGTCCTAAACTGAACTATTTATAGAAATCAAAACAGCTCGTGCTAAACCAGTATATCTCCTGAAAAAAGTGCCCCCTATCACACTGCAACAAAGCTGAGAGATAACTGGAATGCAGCAAGTTTGATGAGTGTCGCACGTTAATCACAGTGTACATACAATGTCGCAGAAATACAGACTTTGCTCCCATGAACATATATTTAGTTTAACTACCACTGAGGTGATGTTACGAGCTTCACACTCTTCATCAGACTGATGAAAAACGTGCAGCTCGAAGACGGCTTTTGCATGATCTCCTTGTATACCTCCTTGTTCGTACAAAATCAGAGTAACTTTTATTGCTCATTAAAAACATCGCCTCTTGTATCAGACTGATAGCTCACGACATGCTCTATTTAAAATAATAAGTGATGAAGATTTTTTTAACAGATAAAAGTCACAATCTGACCAGCTGAAATGAGAACAGACTGATATCTGACTAAACTGATGTTTAAAAACATATTCAGCACATACAAGACTAAAACAGCATCATACTTCACTTTTATCTCCTGCAAATTTAAATCTCTGCTTGACTCACCCTGCAGATGAGGGAACACGGGGTATCTGAACATTGTCGCCATCTCTGCTATTTTTGATCCGCAATGTATTTTCCAGAAAAGGCTAATAAAGCTCGCTGTCCTGTTTGTCAGTGTGTTGCCGAGCTGCACGCAGGAGATGCGCTTTGTCCTGCACAGCTGTCTGCTACTGAGCTGGTTGGAGTTCAAAGTCTGTTTTATAGCTACGCTCGCACACACACACACACACACTCTCACACACAGAGACATGCTCTCTCTCTCTCTCTCTCTCTCTGTGCTCCCTCCCTCACCTAAACCCTCCCACTCAATTTCAATGTACACCTCAAAGAGACAAACAGTCAGAACATTATTTGCCATATATTCATCACTGATTAATGAATATTCCCTCTTGTCATTATGTGGTACTTCCTTGTATTTTATCTTGTAATTGGCGAGAGAGCTTTTTTAAAGTGGCAGTAATTTGATAATGATGGTGCAAAAAATAAGATGAGATTAGATAACGAAGTCACACGAATGACTCAGATTTATAAACAATCACGTTCTCAAACGCATGTGAGTGACTCTCCTGCCTGCGACTGATGAAGGCTGAATACATGGAGTGATGTTTTGGAGCCTGAGCGGGCCAATCACATTCATCAGCGGTACTGAAGATGCATTTCTCCGCACGTGCTAGACACTGAGGTGGGTGGGAGCGTGTCCTTAAAATCAAAACATTCACACCAAGGGTGCCTGTAATGAGTCAAAGACACCACTAGAGGTCGATATTCTTGCATTCCAGAAACTAAACCGTGTCAGTTACATAACAAAGGAGTCTAAGATAAACACGGTGTGTGGCTGAACACTGCAGAACAAAGAGGGAGAAATACCACACAATAAAATCTGCTTGATGGATAAAGTGGAATATGTTGACACATGAAAATATTGCTTTCCCAGTTGGATGTGATCTACAGTCATGGTGAGGGGTAATCCCTTCTAATCTCAGATTAGTAACCTTTTAAAAAATCGTATTTACCAACTCATGTGGAAAACACACATCTTAAAATGTGTACAGTAAATTTGTGAAGTCATCATTTTTGATAACATGAGTTTAAAAAAGAAAATATTGATGGATATCTTCCTAAAAATGAGAGAAGAACTTTCATTTACATGCTTTATCCGTGGCTATAATAATGTTAGAAACATGCCAGACAGAACATTTAGTGCCACAGCCAGAGCACAGTTCCAGTGTTTGTGCAGGCGAGATGGCAGAGGTGGGCAGAACAGCTTGTGGCTGTAATCAGTGGCTGCGTGTGAGCACACACGTGCTGTGTACATCAAAGGCGGGTTCTGTTAATGCCAGCAGTGGGGAGTAGAGGAACTTACAGACTGGCAGTGTTGTCAAAGTGTCCGTTAGCTTAACACATCTGCTCCTACTTCCTCTTTGCCCCGAGGGAGAGGGGAAGTGACATAGGGAGTTCAAAAGGAACCTGCAACCTCAAATTGGAGCACTGGAGCCTCTTAAATTCTGCTTTATCACTGGTGGCTCTGCATGTTATATTCAGTGCCCTGACTGGTTTCACTCAAAAGCTATACAGATAACACGTTTCACTATCAGTTAAAAGTCCAACACCTTCGGAGCAATATACAGTAGATAACCCAGTTACCATGTTCAAACATCGGTCAGGTAATGACCTGCATTTAAATGCTACGTGTCTATGATTTAGGAGGATATATTGGCAGAAATTGAATATGAGAAGTGTTTTCTTTAGTGTATAATCACCTGAAAATAACAATTAATCTTTACCTAAGAGTGAGCTGCTTTTATCCACATAGGAACCAGGTCCTCCTCCATAGAGTCCACCATGTTGCACTGCCATGTTTCTACTGTAGCCCAGAGCAAACAAACCAAACACTGGTTCTAGATAGGGCCAGTCATGTTTTTGCATCTGATACCAAATTGAGCAGCCCCTCAACAACCGCAGGGTAGGAAAAACAGATTTGCTTAATATGCAAAATGACTTTATTCAGTGGGCGGCACAGTGGAGTGGTGGTTAGCACTGTCGCCTCACAGCAAGAGGGTTTCCGGTTCAATCCCGAGTGTGGGAGCCCCTCTGTGCGGAGTTTGCATGTTCTCCCCGTGTCAGCGTGGGTTCTCTCCGGGCACTCCGGCTTCCTCCCACAGTCCAAAGACATGCAGATTGGGGATTAGGTTAACTCTAAATTGTCCGTAGGTGTGAATGTGAGTGTGACTGGTTGTCTGTCTCTATGTGTCAGCTCTGCTGATAGTCTGGCGACCTGCCCTACCCTGCCTCTCGCCCATTGTCAGCTGGGGAAGGCTCCAGCCCCCCCACGACCCTCAAGAGGATGAAGCGGTAAGCGGTTAGAAGATGGATTGATGGGACTTTATTCAGTGTTTTTACCGGTTTAAATCACTGGGTACTTTTGCTTCGGAGAGGAGGAGACCTCTGCAGACAATTCGGCTCCCAGTGAAAAACACTGTGACTATCTGAATCCTAAGGTATCAGAGAAAAAAGGTGAGCACACATTAGCAAGTGCTCGTCACAGACAGTCCAAACTGCGCAGCAGAAACACTTATTTGTACCCTGAACCTGCTTTATTCTGTATTTTTACTGGTTTTAAACCACCTGGTCCATTTGATTTAGAGAGGTAGAGACCTGCTCGGATAATTCGGCTCCTAGTAAAAACCTGCTGAACATGAAAAGTTGAAATGAAAAGTTTCAGCTGGTTGCAATCTGCAATCCCCACCACTAGATGTCGCTAAATCCCCCTAAATCTTACACACTCGACCTTTAATACACAGTTTTGCCTAAAGTGTCTGACTATGAATGGGTTTCAGAACTATACAGCACTGTAACAAACAGCCACTTCAACACATACAGTAGATTGTGTGTGTTGATATCTGCAACATCGCACAACAAAACGTGCACTATGGAAGCAACCCTCCAAGCATGTCAGTATGTGTGTCGGGACAGGACTTCCTGCTGTTCCAGGAATCCCATTAAAACAGTTTATAGGTCGTAGAGAAAAAACCCTTACAGCAAGCAAACACACAGACATACATACACTTATCGATAATGAGCCTCCAAAAGGCCTGAATCTCCAAGATACAGGGCGCAGGATACACAGAAAGGCAATCCAGGCACTCTAAAAAATAAAAGCAGGCAACGTCTAGAGGATTCAAATGTCCAAGCATAAATTCAGGGATAAAATTAAATGAAAATTGGTGAAAACAATGGAAAAGAAAGGAGAAAAACTGGGTCAGAGGAAAGTCGACGACAGGAGAAAAGCGGGCTGGCAAGTTGAGCCTGTCTCTGTTTACTTCACTCTCTCCTGTCATCCTAATGACCGGTGTATGACTGTGATGATCTCATGTTCTGTGAAATGTCACATTTTTGAATCGGGCAGCTCGGAAATATCTGATCAGTCATGTCAGAAAAATAGCAAAAGAAGGCTTAAACAGTAGCACAGAAAGTTAAATCCACATTTCTGTACAGTCTAAGTGTAAAGAGTTCTTGATGAGAGGGAACCAAAGTGGTTTCAGGCTGGAAAAAACAAAAAAAATGAGCTAAAAGACGCTAAAAATCTCTGTGAAGCTGAAATTAACTGCAAAGCTGGAAGGCAGTTTTCTGTAGCTTCATCTCTAGGAGTGACACCATGCACAGTGTACAAAACTGATTTCATATCGTACATATATTGTTGTTTTTATATATTGATTATGGCCGCTTTGAGGCTGTTTTTTAGTCGCTGAAAGTCT